AATTGATTTGGAGAATCAATCAAAGTTTTTGAAAGCTGAATCAACTTTTAAAAAGAATAGTAAAGAGAGGAACTTGTCTATTATATAATAAGACATCTTTTGGCCAGGTGTGGTGGCTCACACCTGAAATCCCAGCACTTAGGGAGGCCGAGGGGGGTGGATCACTTGAGGTCAGGAGTTCCAGACTAGCCTGGCCAACATGGTGAAACCCCGTCTCTACTAAAAATAGAAAAAATTAGCTGGACGTGGTGGTGTATGCCTGTAATCCCAGCTACTTGGAAGGCTGAGGCAGGAGAATTGCTTGAACCCAGGAGGCGAAGATTGCAGTGAGCCAAGATTGTGCCACTGCACTCCATCCTGGGTGACAGAGTGAGACTCCATCTCAAAAAAAAAAAAAAAAAGAAATATTTTAAAGCCATAGTTATGAAAACAACTTGGTAAAGAGGAACTGATGATGGAACAGAGTGGAGAGCTCAGAGCATACCCATGTGTACACAGGGATCTGACATATGAGAGAAGGGACCCTGCACATCGGTGGGAAAGAGCAATGTAAATATAAATACATGAAAATTAAGGATTTCTCCTCAACAAAAGACATCATGAAGAGAGTAAATAATGACCAAAAAGGGAGAAAATATTTGTAATATCTAAAATTGGCAAGGGATGTATACTCTATATGGACTACAATTCAACAAGAAAAACCCACGCACAACATAGAGAAATGGATAAAGGGTATAAATAGGTAATTTTTGAAAAGGAAACACAGAAAAGTAACAAGTATATTATGAGATGCTCAAAATCTTTGGTAATCCAAATTGACAGAATGAGATACTACTGCTTTGCATCTATTAAAGTTGAAAAATAAAAGTGATGGGAAATACTTGGCAGAGATGCGGGGTGTTGGCGGGTGTAGAAGGATGTAGATGTTCCAGGCCGCAGTGTGGAGCTACGTAGTAAAATTAAATGTATGCATAGTCTATAACCTCGAAATTCTCTTCCTGGGTAAACATCCCAGGGAAACTCCCACACAGTCCACAAGAGCTGTTCAAGGGCTGTTTGCACTGGCGAGGAGTTAAAGGCAACCTGGATGTTCACGAGTGGAAGAGCAGATAAAGAAAACGTGGTAGTCGCACACTGTAGAAAGTATCACTCAGGAGCTGAAAGCAAGGATCAGATGCATGCATAGCACCACACAGCTACATCTCAAAAGCATTGTGTTTACTGAAAAACATTAGGGACATAATAAAATACATAACATAAAAGCAGGTATGTACATTTAAAATGCATGCACATAAAACAGCAATCTTTTTCAAAGCATATTCCTAAGAGGAAACAAAATGACAAGCAAGAGAGGGGTGCTTCCATGAAACAGTGTGACTCTGCGACATGAACTGAGGAGGAGGATTAACTCAACCCTCTGCGCCTGAGACGGCAGTAACTCATGTTAACATAACAACAAAGTAAGTTACTAACCAACTCACTTTCTACAAGTTAGATTAACAACCAGCTCTGAATTCAAGTCTAGAGACCTTTGTTAAAGTTTCCAACCTATTTCTTGCAAGACATTTAAAAACGTATTTCTGGCTGGATGCAGTGGCTCGCGCCTATAATCCCAACACTTTGGGAGGCTGAGTCGAGTGGATCACTTGAGGTCAGGAGTTGGAGACCAGCCTGGCCAACATGGTGAAACCCTGTCTCTACTAAAAATATAAAATTAGCCAGGCATGGTGGTGGGCCCCTGTCATCCCAGATACTCAAGAGGTTGAGGCAGGAGAATCACTTGAACCTGGGAGGCAGAGGTTGCAGTGAGCCGAGATCACACCACTGCACTCCAGTCTGGGCAATAGAGCGAAACCCCGTTTCAAAAAAATAAATTTTAAAAAACCCATATTTTCAGATAAAACAGCATAGATTCACATCCCAGCTGTGATGTGACGATTCCCAAGCCCTTTCTTATGCAAGCATAAAAGCAACCTTGATGGTTTTTTCCTAAGATGAGATGAGGGATGGGGACATAGTCCAAAGAAGCTGATGCTTTCAGCCTTTCCTGCCTATCAGGACCATGCTAAGGCTGTCTCCCGTCATCTTCACAGTGAGAGGTAGGTATTACACACCTTTGCGGAAGAGGCAACCAAAGCTGAGAGCAATTCAGTGAATTGCCCAAGGTCTGCAGTTAGTGAAAAGCAGTTGTTTGAAGCCAGCCCTCTGTGCTCTCTCTGGCATATCATGCTGAAAGGTATTGAAAAGAGGTCCAGGTTCATTTTGAGTCTATGCACTGCAGAGCTATGAAGAACTTGAGGGCTGTGTTGATAGCAGGAAGCCCAGAGGCAGTGCTCTCTGCCTTTGCCTTCCTGGAAGGACAGGCGGAGGCCCACCTGCACCATTTCCAATGAAGGACTTGCCAATTTCATCTGGCTCTGCGGCACTGTGTGGCAGGCTACCTCGTGTCGCTCTCAGGCTTGCTCTAGCTGTTCCCTGAGACTTCTTTTAGTAGTGCCCATGCTCTCTCTTCATGGCAAACTCCTCAAAGTCAGGGGTACAAATGGGACTCTCTCTGTACAATCCCAGATAGGCAGCCCACATAACAAAAAGGAGATGCCTACCTATTAATTATGTACTACTAACTGAATTGCTTCTATCCATCACATTAGTTTGGTAGATCTTTGGATTTGAAAGCGATTTGTTTATATCTATAAGAAATCAGCTAGCAAAAAATGTTAAACCATAATTTTACAGAGTGCTGGGTCTCATGTCAGTCTACCTACAGGTGATTCACCACAACATCCCTGGTAAATGTGGGCAAAGTGAACACATATCATGAGCAAAAGAGTCTGGGCTGGTCACCGAATGGCTTAGAATCCTACAGTCAAGAGGGATTTTAAGAGACCCCATCCCTTGGCTCCTGAGAGCACCAACAATGTGATGAGCCTTAGCGTCAAGGTGGCCCTAGGTTCAAACTCCAGCTTGGTCTGGTGGGAACTTAGGCAAGAACTTAAGCTCTTCAGACTTAGTTTCTCCATCTGCGAAATGGGAATGACAATACATTCCTCGTAGGATTGCTGTGAGGATTCATTGCAATTGTCAATGGACGGGGTCTAATAGTGTAACCGGAACACACTATGTGCTCAATCATGTTCACTATATATGTTGTTATAATTACAAATAAATGTCTCTGAGAACGGAGCCTCCCTTAGCAGTACAACAAACATCTATCCCAGCAAGATACACATAAACATGATAATCTCTGCTTAAATGGTCAGAGGGCACAGTGACTTACCCAAGTTCAAGGCTGAGTACACAGAAGAAAAACCACTTGCAGTTCATGTTTAATTCATTCACACTTTGAAATGTTTAGCCTATATAGAAAATATCCCATGTATGTTAAATTTCCCTAGCATTTTCCCCAAAAGATGCTTCTTAAAAGCAAGTTAGAATGGTATATTCAGAGTTAGGAAGAAATGTTTGTAGTAGTTACACAAACAGCCTTTTTTTCAATTTGGGAAATCTTGTTATAAGCTTCTCTCCACTGCTACCACTGGCAAATAGTGGATCAGCTATTTCCCCCTGAATTCCTGCTCCAGGGAGCTCACAATGTGACAAGGCAGCCTCACAGGTTGCTGTGGCTCCATCAGCATCGGCATCTAAAATGTGCAGGCAGTGAGCAAGACTCTGAGTCCCACGGAAGCTGAGCCCAGGTTACTAGTTCACTGCCATATGCCCAGAACCTAGTAGCACAGTGACTTGTGACCAAGCAGACGATCAAGAGATATTTGTTGGATGGATGGATGGATGGATGGATGAAAGGATGAATGGATGGACGGACAGATGGGCGGATGGACGGACAGATGGGCGGATGGACAGATGAATGGACAGATGGATAGATGGATGAATGGATGGATGGACAGATGAATAAATGATATGCCCTCTCTGGGTGCTATAAAATAAGTTAGACATGTTTATTTCCCTTTCATACTATGGCTCACAGTCCAAGGCATTGAATCTAAAGTAAAGATTTGGGGATATTTTATGTGAAGCAATTGTAGAACTGTAACTATCCTAAGACCTGTAAACTATCCCAGGCTTGGGTGTCAGCAATAAAACTCTTTAAAGTGAATTACCCACTGATCACAGGGGTATGGGTAGTTGTCAGGTGAAAAACAGTCCATTGGTTTTTAAATATTAACACTAACAGGTGCCTGAGAGATAATGATTCAGTTCTTCTTTAATCTGTAACCACATATCAGCTACCATCTATTTTGAACTTAATACAAGGCCTAAGTCCTTAATAGAAATGTATGTAATTCTGAATTGATCACAAGGACAGACTTTTGACAGAAACTGCTCATATTTTCCAAAAATGTGTGTTTACTCATTGACAACATTGTCTTTTTCTCAAATTAGTCATTGGACTTACTGAGAAGAATCTGATTACTAATAGCTCAAGTTACATATATAAATTACTATGTTCACTTTTATTAATAATAAATGATGCAAGTCAGTTTGCTCTGAACTGATTGTGCCATATCTTGTGCTGTTTTCTCTTTTGCAGAATTTCTTTTCATTTGCTGAAAGTTTTAAGTCATGCCCAATGACTGATTTATTGTTTTCTTCACAGGAGGAGGGGGGAAGCATTAGGTACCTGGTACCCAGCAAAAGCCCAATAAGCAAAGTTATTGGTGGAATTCCTCAATGTGACAAAGGGCTGGATGAGGGGTTCCTTGCTGGTACAACCAGGTCACAAGCCTAAGAAGGCTTGACGGGTGTGGCTGGCTCCCCCCCATGGCCCTGCTCTGTTCCCGATCTGGGCTTTGCTGCCCTGGTCTGGGCTGCTTCTCCTGGCTCTCTGCAGGACCTCCAGGCTCCAGGAATTTGGACCGAGTGGTAGAGACATCGCCGGCAGAGACGGCGATCGCCAGCTTCCTCTCTGTGCTGTCTTGTGATTCAAAGCAGATTCTGCTCCACTTTTTTAAAAGGGGAGCACATGAATGCTGAAGACCCACAAGAACAGAATCAAGCAAGGAAACGTGCAACAGTGATATAAAAGTCCGTGAGTAAGTGGCTCATTCAAGGTGAGCCATGACAGGGATTTGTTCATGGGGAGCCCAGGGGCATCAAGGTCTGATTGCTGAGTGTTCTTGTGGGAAGTGGGAGGTTATAGGAGCTGCAAGAACCCTAGGACTTAAGGCTTTCTCAAATGACCCTGGGCTGGGCCGCACAGTGAGAGAGACAGACAGACAGACAGACAGAGACAGAGAGAGACACGGAGAAAGAGAGAGAGAGCACTATGTACCAAGGTCATCCGAGCACTGCATTTGTACTTGGCTGCAGGGAGGAAGGGTTGGAAAAAGGGGATGCTTTTCTATCTTGGACCTTTACCTAAAATAGGCACCATCAAACTTCTTGCTTGCAAACTTCTATAGGAAGTGATTTTGGACCTCCTCTTACATCAGTCTGGTATGATACCACAGTTAGACAACTCAGCAAAAATTGCTGCTGGCTGTGTGTGTGGCATGGTCATTGAAGACTTTTTTAAATTTTTTCTTTGCCTTTCTCTCCTCACATTATTTTCTAGCTAATGATCTCACTTCTTTGGAAGAGTACATTTCTGTGGTAGGAGCTATCTTTGTGAAAATATTCACTTTAGAGACTAATTTGCTGGAGACTCACGCAGAATCCCCAGCTCACTTTCCCACTCACGCAGAATCACAAGAATTCTGATATTCGAGGTACAATCAGTTCATGTATCAATATTTTAAAGTAAATAGGTAGTCTCAAATTTTATATACTATTCAGAGAAGGCCAGGATTTGAGTCACAGCCCTGTTTCCTTCCTCATGTAAATGAGTCACTGAGCCTCAAAGGTTCAATCACCCTCTTTGTAGATGAAATATAATAACAGATACTAGTATGATTGTTGGGATGATTAACTGCAAATGCACAAAGTCCTTTTTAACATAGTAATTATTTATTACTATTCCTAATAAACACATCACAGCCATAAGCTGGCTAACTACCAAGAAAAATGAGTAGGATTACCTCGTACATTTCTTTTCCCATCATAATGCTTTTCTTCTGATTTGACCAGGGCTTTGCCAAAGTCACACATCCAGTGAGTGGCAGAAGCAGATCTTCAGACCCACAGTTTGGCTTCCAAAGGACCACAGTGAGTATTTCTCATGCTCAGACAAGAAGTTGCAGCCCTACAGCCCAGGCGCGTGGGCCTCAGGGTGGGTAACCAAGACAGCTCAATTCACGTCTCCCTCAGCCACTCCCAGCCCCTGAAAACAGAGCTGGGGGTCCCAGTCCTCTGTGGGATATGGCCCTCTCTTGTCACCAGCTTCCTGCCTACCCTACATCTCTTCCCTTTGAATTGCAGAAACCCTCCCAGCCTCCATGCTGCCTTTCCTGGTCACCCTCTTCTTCCTTCACTCTTGCTTCCTCCAAGCAAATGGCCGCCTCCGCGAAGGAATGATGTTGCTGAAGACTGAGTTTGCACTCCGCCTCTACCAGAGCGTGGCTGCGTGTAGAAATGACACGAACTTTGTCATCTCTCCCACCGGTGTGTCCCTCCCCCTGGAGATCCTGCAGTTTGGAGCTGAAGGGAGCACTGGCCAACAGCTGGCAGATGCCCTGGGGTACACCATCCATGGTAAGAGGCCTGCCCACGTGCATACTCACCCTCCTGCTCACACTCACACTGTCTCTCCAGCCCATCCTCCTGCTCACATTCACACTCACACTCACTCTCTCCAGCTCACCCTCCTACTCACACTCACTCTCTCCGGCTCACCCTCCTGCTCACACTCACTCACCAGCTCACCCTCCTGCTCACACTCACACTCACCCCCTCCAGCTCACCCTCCTGCTCACACTCACACTCCCTCCCTCCAGCTCACCCTCCTACTCACACTCACTCTCTCCAGCTCACCCTCCTGCTCACACTCACACTCCCTCCCTCCAGCTCACCCTCCTACTCACACTCACTCTCTCCAGCTCACCCTCCTGCTCACACTCACTCCCTCCAGCTCACCCTCCTGCTCACACTCATACTCACTCCCTCCAGCTCACCCTCCTACTCACACTCACTCTCTCCAGCTCACCCTCCTGCTCACACTCACACTCCCTCCCTCCAGCTCACCCTCCTACTCACACTCACTCTCTCCAGCTCACCCTCCTGCTCACACTCACTCCCTCCAGCTCACCCTCCTGCTCACACTCATACTCACTCCCTCCAGCTCACCCTCCTACTCACACTCACTCTCTCCAGCTCACCCTCCTGCTCACACTCACACTCCCTCCCTCCAGCTCACCCTCCTACTCACACTCCCTCCAGCTCACCCTCCTACTCACACTCACTCTCTCCGGCTCACCCTCCTGCTCACACTCACTCCTTCCAGCTCACCCTCCTACTCACACTCACTCTCTCCAGCTCACCCTCCTGCTCACACTCACACTCCCTCCCTCCAGCTCACCCTCCTACTCACACTCACTCTCTCCAGCTCACCCTCCTGCTCACACTCACTCCCTCCAGCTCACCCTCCTGCTCACACTCATACTCACTCCCTCCAGCTCACCCTCCTACTCACACTCACTCTCTCCAGCTCACCCTCCTACTCACACTCACTCTCTCCGGCTCACCCTCCTGCTCACACTCACTCTCTCCAGCTCACCCTCCTGCTCACACTCATACTCACTCCCTCCAGCTCACCCTCCTGCTCACACTCACACTCACTCCCTCCAGCTCACCCTCCTACTCACACTCACTCTCTCCAGCTCACCCTCCTACTCACACTCACTCTCTTCAGCTCACCCTCCTGCTCACACTCACTCCCTCCAGCTCACCCTCCTCCTTAGGCTGCCTGGGAGGTAGGGAGCTCAGTTCCCTGTGGCATGCACATGGGGAAGAGTGTCCACTGGACAGGTCTGTGACAGAAGGCATTCAGACTTTGGGATGTGATGACCTTTGCATTTTAAGGTTCCCTTCTAACCTGACAGGTTTTGTGGCAATGTTTCAGTTTCATTTGACACACCCTTACATAGTGCATTCCTAGGTGCCAGGCAGTGCTGGAGGCACTTACAAACATTAATTGTCACAACCATGCTGTTGAGGCTAATAACTGTACTATCATCCCAGTTTTAGAGATGAGCAAATAGGCTTAGAGAGTTGAAGCAACTTGCCCAAGGTCACAGAGCCAATGAGTGGCAGAGTTGGGACTCAAGCCCAGGCTGTCTGGCTTCAGAACCCATGCTTTTGACCAACCTGCTTTTATAAATCTGTGACTTCTAGCCAGTGCCAGATCCGCCAGCTGATTTCTGTGGATTACGTATTTTAGAACAGCTCTGCCGGCAGCAGTGTGAGCCTTCCGAATGCCAGGTCAGCTTCCCCCCGCCTACGCTCAGCGCCTCAGCTCAGTGCCTGGCCTCAGACCCAATATACCAGCTCCAGCTAAAACAGACACTCATGCACAGAACTGTTTTCTTCTTAGACTAGGATCTAGGAATTCAGCAAAGACAGAAAGAAAAAGGCTATGAGCTCCACGATCCCACGTTCATTCCAACTGGAAGGAAGCTGTCCTAGGCAGGGTCATCCCAGGACACTCCTCACCCTGTGGGTGGGCAAGGCAGTAAAGCCCCACCACCTACACCTGGGTGACACTGAGCACCTTTATTAATCTGTCTGGGCCTCTGCTCTCTCACCTGTAAAATGGGGACAACAGTCCTCAATTCACAGGCCTGTCAAAAGCATTCAGTGTGGTCAGAAGTGTTGCATGTTCAGCACAATGTCTATGAACACAGTCAACCTCTGCCAGTTTTTACTCTGTCATTGCATATTCTGGTGGGTCTAAAAATGTTCTTCCTGTGTGCAAATGTGCATGGACAAAGTAGTCTAGAGCAGAGACAAGATTTCACACAAAAATTCACTTCAAGCCAGTTTACTCTGCTATTTTAATATTTCTGGCTAAAAGAAGGCTGGTCCCCTGGCCCAGAGAGGGTCAGAAGACGGAGAGGAGAGCACCGTGACCATTCCTCAGGTCACCCCACATTATGGACCAGGGAAGCGTTTCAATTCTCCTCTGCAGACAGCCAACATTCCTAGGAATGTGAACTTATAAATACATATGACCTTCCTCAATAGAGTGAAATCTAAGTATGTTTTTAATCCATTTTTTTCTTACTACAATCAAAAGCAAGCACTTAGGCTGATTCATGAAATCAAGATTCTGAATCAGTCTTTTGCAATTGCAGATTCTCGGAAACAGCTTTGATAGTGAACATTTTGTGGACAAGTGACATCTGCCTGCTATTGTCCTCTGCAGCCTTGTGGCTGGGGGGCCCTGGCCAGGGTAGACTCTGGATTCCTGTGCCTCCAGAGAACATTCGCCAGGAAACTCGGGGGTCTGCTGCCTCCTGGCTTGGCTTTGGAAACATGAAGGGTGTCAGAGTGGACAGACCCCAAGTGAGTGAGAGTTTCATCCTAATGACAACCAGCTAGAGCCAGGTAGTGCAGGAAAAGATACCCAGCATTTTGTCTTACAGGAAGGGTTTGTGGATAACTGCAGGGCTGTGCCTAAAAGGGAGTAGAATAGTCTGAACATGGGGATTTAACTTCTGGAATCAGCCAGCTTGCATGTGTCGGGAATGGGAAGCTTGGGGTTCGCAAGTGTCTGGACTCATCAGTGGACGGGAGCCCTCATTCCAGCTATGGGATGCCTGGGGGAGGGCGGAGCTGCAGCTTGTGAACAATAACATGGACACAAAATCCGCTATTGATTATGGAGAGAAGGAAGCTCTCTCCTGTATAAACAGTAAATAAATAGAAGTCCAGCTGCCATCCATGAAGGTAGAAGCTATCGACTCTCTCACATGCTTATTATTTCCTCGACATTCTTACAGCCTCTCACTGATATTAATAACACAAGCTGTCTGCTGGGTCTTAGGGAGAGCGGGGATGGGAGGAGTTCTTACTTTTCCTCTGTATTTCTCAGATTGAAAGCATAGTTCTACACAAGGCTGAATCCCAATGTTACTCAGGCTCATGACAAGCAGTTGTGGGAATGGATTTAAAGCCCCGTACAAGACATACTGACAGCACAACATCCTGGCCACCACCCATCATTGTCACTGTGACACTGCACATAAATCTCTCGATGGTGTGTTTGAAACCCCGTTACCCTGCACATTGGATGGACCTGCTGTTTTCCCAGCCCTAGCTAGAATCTCTACCCCAGCACACATCAACCTTCCTCAATCAGGAAATTAAGGACGAATAACCTCTATTCATCTACAGGATGTTGGTAGTGTTTTTCCATTTGACTTCACTGTAGCCTGATTTCTTTCAGATCTAGCATGGTTTCTTCCCAACTTTTACGTGGTGGATCCAGGCAGATGCCTGAGCACATTAGCTATGACTTTTTCAAACGGGCTGTGTATAGTAGATGAACCTTATGAGCAAGAGTGTAGTTGCTGGGGTTCCATCTCAATGCAGTGTGCACTGGAGATTGTGCTAACTCCTTACTCACCATTGTCTACTTATCCAATTTGGTTTTCACAGACCAAAGGGTGAAAGATTTCTTGCATGCTGTTTATGCCACACTACCCACCTTCAGGCAAGGTGGTGAGATGGAGCTGACCTGCAGCCTTTTTGTGCAAATGGGAACGCCGCTGTCCCCCTGCTTTGTGGAGCAGGTCTCCTGGTGGGCCAACAGCAGCCTGGAGCCAGTCGACCTCAGTGAGCCCAACAGCACCACCATCCAGCCCAGCGAAGGGACCTCCGGACAGACTGCAGGTAAAAAAAAAAAAGTCCACCTCAACAAGGCTAAGCCAGAGGGCTGCAGAGACAGAGTCTCACCCATCACTTGTCAGAGACATGGTGCTCAGGCCACATTCAATTACAGCAGAAGTTTATCCTCTTGGGAGACCTTATCTTTGAATGACAGGGGGACACTGAGTCCCTTTCTGCCTCTCTTCCTGCTCTGACCCTCCCTCACACAAATATACACATGGGCACACACACACACACACACACGAGCTGCGAGAGCACACAAGAACACAGAAGTGTGCTCTTCAGAACCTCCTACCTCGGAGGACCCCACAGGCTTTGTCCCATGCACCTGTCCTCCCACCGAGCTCTGCTGCCATCTATAATGAACCACCTGTGACAGCAAAAGGCAACAGGAGCCAAAAAAAAGTGGTACCCTGGGAATTTAGGTTAAGGAAATAATTAAAGAAAAAGTTACCCCCAATAAAACGTTTAGCTCAGTGTAACTGAAGAAAGAGACTTACAAACAGCCACTCTGCCCCGTAATGAGGTAAATCAGTGTAGCACAGCACCTGCATACTATGCAGCTGTAATTGTGATTAAAGAGAATTAAAACCATGAACACCTACTGAGTGTTTATTTAGTTAGCACTGCTCCAAGTTGACTCTCTCAGTCCACCCTCACAATAATCCTAAAGGGTAGGCACTATTACTCTCCCCATCCTATAAATGGAGAAACTGAGCACAGAAGGCTCAGGGTCCTCCTGCCCAGGGTCCACATGCCAGGATTCTAACCCAGGTGGTCTGGCTCCAGGATCCTTCATCATTTCAAAAGTTTCACAGCAATGTGGAGAACATTCAAGAACCAGTGTTGGTTAAAAAGCCTACTGGGAAGTGATATGTATACTAGGACTGAATGGAAAACAAGAGTGTGCGAACAGGGATGGCAGAATTAAATGCAAAAAGTCACATCTTTTGTGATAAGCTTCTCTCTTCCGCCTTCATATTTTACCATGTCTTTTCAATTTACTTAAATATGTTTAATTCCCTGCTCAGCTCCTTGCACTGCAGGTCGTAAGGCCAGAGAAGCAGCTCCCAATACAAGCTGATTGTCGTTTGAGAAAAGGGGGCAGCTGGCGTGGTTGCTCGGAGCACAGAGTCCAGAGCCAGGCCACTTGGGTTCAAATCCAAGCTTTCTATGGAGTTGCTGAGGTTCTATTTCAATGCAATGTGGATTGCATTGATGGCTAAGTGGATGGTGGCTTCACCCCTCGTAAGTATGTGGCCTTGCCCAACTTTTCTGAGCCTCAGTTCCTTCATCTGTGAAATGGGGAATAACAATAGAACTGTTAGGAGGAGTTGGTGAGGATTTGCTAAAGTACTTAGAACAGAGCCTAGCACAAAGTATGTGCTTATTAAACAAATAAACAGCTGGGACAAAACTATCCCTTTAAGGGTGGTCTGCCTGCTCCTCTTTCTGGCACTGCATGAAATTTTAACTGCAACCCTCCAAAGACCGTACCTTGAATATTGTCCTCTAAGCAAAGGCTCAGTGAGAGATTGAGCTCAGCAGCAGGGCATGGTGGGGACTGGGGGTGACACTGGGCAGCATCTCCCATGCAGCACACACTCCTTCCAAGGGTCTGCCCTGGGAGAGAATGTCTAATAATTCCTAGGAAATGGCCCCAAGCAGAGCCAGGAGCAGCATCCCAACCTGTTCAGAAAAGAATAAAAATCAGGGTCTTCAGCAACAGCTGGATATACACCTGTCAATTTGCAATTAATAGATTTTAATGAATACTCTACAAACCCAACTCCAGAGATGCCTCACTGCTCCCACCTCCCCGAGTGGTCACACAGGTGTCAGGACTTCTGAGTTCTCACTTTCTGTTTCCCTCCACACTCTCACCCCCCAGCAGGGAGTTGAGAGCAGCTCCTGGTGCTTTGGGTCCCTGGCAGCACAAGGAGCTGAGACAGGGAGTTAAATACTGTTTTTTTGTTTTGTTTTGTTTCGTTTTTTTTAGATGGAGTTTCGCTCTTGTTACCCAAGGGTGCAATAGCGTGATCTCGGCTCACCGCAACCTCCGCCTCCCGGGTTCAGGCAATTCTCCTGCCTCAGCCTCCTGAGTAGCTGGGATTACAGGCACGTGCCACCATGCCCAGCTAATTTTTTTGTATTTTTAGTAAAGACGGGGTTTCACCATGTTGACCAGGATGGTCTCAATCTCTTGACCTCGTGATCCAACCGCCTCGGCCTCCCAGAGTGCTGGGATTACAGGCTTGAGCCACCACGCCCGGCCTAAATATTCTTAAGTAAATTGAAAAGATATTATAAGATGGAGAGAGAGACCACCTTATGAAAACAGACCTTTATTTTTGCATTTTAACTCTGCACTCCTTGTCCACACACACACTGGGTTCAGTTTAGTTTCAATGCACATTTTACCCACAGTCTCCTTGCTTTCCTGGTTGCAGGTGAAGGTCCCAGTGAGGGCCCTCGTGGCTGGCCGTGGGAGCACGTTGGTGCAGCATTTGCTCAGCTGGTGCTTGTGAGCACCATGTCTTTCCAAGGCACTTGGCGGAAGCGATTCTCCTCCACAGACACGCAGATCCTGCCTTTCACCTGTGCCGGCGGCCTTGTCCTTCAGGTGCCCATGATGCACCAAATGGCCGAGGTCAACTATGGTGAGCCCCGCCCCTGCTGACTTGCCTAAAGGGAGAGGAAGCCTGAAAGCAGCTGAGAGGAAGCCAGGTCCCTGCTCCTAAGGGATCAGGCTGTGTTTCTGCAGGGTCCGCCTGCTGGACTGGGCATGTGGCAGAAGGAAAGACTAGGGTGCTGGGAGACTTTAGAGAGGAGCATTGGACAGTGTGCTCTGACAGGACAGTGAGGACACAGATGTGGAACAGAAACCCAGTTTCATGCTTGACATTTCCTCCCTCACTAGTAGAGTTTGGACCAAACTGCCACCCTTGGCAGGCACAACAGGCCTGGGTTGAATTGGCTGCTCCTTTAAGACCAGGTACAGTAGTACCCTGTACCCTTATCCATGATTTTGCTTTTTGAGGTTTCCGTTATCTGCATCAGAAGATATTACATGGAAAATTTCACAAATAATTCTCAAGTTTTAAATTGCATGCCTTCTGAATAGTGTGACGAAATCTGCCGCCCTGCTCTGTTCCACCTGAGATATGAATCATCCCTTTGTCCAGCATCTCCAGGTTGACTACAGTACCCCCATGTTAGTCACTTAGTGGCCACCTCAGTTATCGGATCAAGAAAATGTAGTATATGCAGGGCTCGTTACCATCTGCCGGAGTTGTTGGAGCATATCTGCCAAGGACAAGGGGGCACTACTCTATGTGGTTCTGCACGTGCCATCGTGGCCCTCATGCTCAGCCCTACAGAGCCTCTGACTCTGTCAGGTATCTTAAAGGGTATCCTAAAGACTCTAGGTCTAGAATTTTTATAAAATGGCCATATCACCCAACAGTCCTTGGCTCTAACCTGCCTCCTGAGGGTGAGGTGGATGCTTTGTTTTACTGTTTCCAGTCCTCTGAGCTAGCCTCTCTCAGGGTCTGGCACTGGTTGATTCTCCTGGCTCCTGGAACAGAGCTGACTTCTGATCCACTGCACCCTCAGGTCAGTTCCAGGACACTGCAGGCCATCAGGTGGGGGTGCTGGAGCTGCCTTACCTGGGAAGTGCCGTGAGTCTGTTCCTGGTGCTGCCCCGTGACAAAGACATCCCCCTGAGCCACATTGAGCCATACCTCACTGCCAGCACCATCCACCTCTGGACCACCAGCCTGAGGAGAGCCAGGATGGATGTGTTCCTGCCCAGGTGAGCAGCTGTGTCCCCCTTATGGGTGCTGTGCAGCCAGCACTCAGAAAAGCCTGGATTTGCAGCCAGGTGGTCTGCCTCTAGGGTTTTGTGCTTAGCCACTGGGATGACTTGTTTAATGTGTACCCCGAGAAGTTAGGACAAGAGGAAGTGACCCTAGAGTCTGAGTCCATTTCAGAGTCGCCGCTGGCCAGCTCACAGCACAGACTGAAATGAACAAACTTCCCAGAGTCCCAAGACAAGATGTTCTGCCTTCGCTGAGCTGGAGTGGAGGCCCTCAGGGCCCCTGATCCTGTCTTAGGCCACAACTAGTTTTTGAAGAGGAAATGCTCTGTGGTTTCCTTGTAGGAACATACCCCAAATCTTATCCCATCCTAAGAGTATACAGCTGTCATTTTTCCAAAACCGAAGAGGTAAGATGACTTACATAACTGAACAAGTACAGATAAAATTCTGATCAGAAGCCAAATTAAGGCATAAAAATTTGACACTTTAAGTCTCTATGCAGAAGGTTCTCATTCTTTCTGAAAGGAGGTGAACTCTCCTTTAAGAAGACCCAATAGGTACAAATACAAATCTCCAAAAAGTGAAGCGGTGGCATTCTGTTTTGGTTTTTTAAAACAAAATCTATTAGCAAAACTCATAACTTTACAAAAAGATTCCTCTTAGGGCTTCTTTAAATAACAACCTTCTGTGATATATTTGAAATCAGAGTAAATTTATAATCAAATTTTGAACAGCATTAAGCAAGGAATGTTGTCCAGTAGCTCATCTTCCGTGTGTGAATTCTCCATGCTACTGCTCACTAGCCACCTTGGCCTCCCTCCACTGCCTGGGCTCCCACTAGGCAAAGACAAAGTCCTTGGCAGTACTCCCTCGAGGAGTTAAAAATAAATCTATGTACTGGAAGGAAAACATACAAAGAGAGACCCAGCAAGTTACGGGCCAAGGTCTAAAGTCAGGTCTGGCATAGCCCAGGGCAGAAGGTACACTGAACTCTAAGGTAAAGTATATCTCTCAAAACTAAATATTTGGACCCTAAGCCAAAACACAAAGACTGGTTATTTCAACAGATCTCTCAGGGAGGGAGCAGAAGCAACCCTAGTCTTCCTATTATATTTGAGAGAAACTCAGCAAGGAAGGAAGAGGAGCGTGCCATGTCAAAAGTAGAGAGAAATATGCAGGCTGGTGCGGGAATTTGCGTCGTTTTGGGTTTGAGAGACAGATGGTGGGCCTCATCCTTGAGCAGCTCTTCCCTGGAAGAGACCCCAGGGAAATGCCCAGCTCCTATGAGAGCTCTCCATCATCCTGATTCTGCTTTTATAAGTCTCAAGCCCTCAAGCAGTGATCCTGAAAAACACTGGAGGGCAGGGAAGGCAAGGCAAAGCAGAAATATTAGTAACACAACTATTAGCACTTAACCTCATTCTGATAATTTTTAAAAATCTCCTTAAGACTACCAAGATGGCTGTCCAAGGATAGAGGTTTTTGGGAAAATGAGGTTATTTCAGGAGTAAACCTAACAAAGTTTTTTTGTTGTTGTTATTTTGTTTCTTATTTTTCAGGTTTTTTTTTTTTTTTTTTTTTTTTTTAGGAGTTTTGCTCTTGTTGCCTAGGCTGGAATGTGATGGCACGATCTCAGTTCACTGTAACCTCCGCCTCCCGGGTTCAAGCAATTCTCCTGCCTCAGTCTCCTGAGATAGCTAGGCATGCACTACCACGCCCAGCTAATTTTGTATTTTTAGTAGAGGTGGGGGTTTCTCCATGTTGGTCAGGCTGGTCTTGAACTCCCGACCTCAGGTGATCTGCCCGCTGCTCACCTCAGCCTCCCAAAGTGCTGGGAATACAGGCGTGAGCCCCCGTGCCTGGCCTTTTTTTTTTTTTTTTCTTTTAGCTTTAAATCCTTTGGGGAACAAAACAGAAAAAGTAAAAGTGGTCTTAAGTCTAGATTTAAGCATAAACTTTGGATCATGGTAGACACAAACACCTTTTAGGCAGAAATTTACCTCTCATTCTCTCAAATCACTCATTCTTCTCTTAGTATGACCTGATCTACAGTCAGCAGGCATTTTTCATTTCACAAGAGCAAAAAATTTTGCACGCAGTGGGTAGCAATGTAAAATTGTGTGACTGTGAGATGTGCTTTCAGGTTAAACATCACCTTTAACCAGTGCACTAGCAGATTCTGGATGAATTATGGTCTCTAGCTTCCAAAGTAACCCTTTATTTATAAATAAATTAAAAAGTACATAGGGACTGTTAATCTTCATGAGGGACACTTAGCATACTAAAGATATAATCAAGAAAACCAAGAATGTGTTATGGATTATTTCTCATCACAATCATGTAATGTCCCACAAGAAAGACTAATAATGTCAAATATGTATGTAATGAATAAAACTTTTGATTATTAGGCCAACACAGAAAGCTGAGCATGAGCATTTTTTGATGTTAGATATAACATAGATCTTAAAATCCACCAGAGTCCACGTATCCAAAATGAGTTTTGCCCTTCCTCCAAGGAGCTGCTGATTATCATGGTGTGTGGTTTATGCTTTTCTAGGGGTGTTTCTTTTTTAAAAAAGTCTTCATTACTGTAGCTTTGTAGTGACTTTAGAAGTCAGGAGTGTGTCTTTCAATTTTATTCTTCTTTTTCGAGATTGTTTTAGCTATTCCGGGCCCCTTGCATTTTCATATAAATTTTAGGATTAGCTTGTCAATCTTTGACAAAAAAAGCAGGAGGGATTTAGATAGGGATGGTGTTGAATCTGTAGGTCAACTTGGCAAGTATTACTTTCTAACAATATTAAGTGTTCTGAGCCATGAACTCAGAATATCCTTCCTTTCATTTAGGTCTTTGTTTCTTTCGACAATGTTTTGTAGTTTTCAGTATATAAGTCTTGCACTTCTTCTGTTAAATTTATTCAAAGTATTTTATTCCTTTTAATGCTATTGTAAATGGAATTTATATTAGCAATTTCAGTTTCAGATTGTTCTATAGTTTGTAGAAACAATTGATTTTTGTATCTTGATCTTGTATGCTGCACCTTAGTGAACTCATTTATTAGCTCTAATAAGTTTTTTTTTCTTTTTTTCTTTGTGTGTGTGTGTGTGTGTGTGTGTGTGTGTGTGTGTGTGTCTGGATTCTTTAGGGTTTTCTATGTATACGACCAAGTCATCTGTGAACAGAGATAGATTTACTTCTTTCTTTCTAACCTGGATGCCTTCTATTTCTTTTTCTCATGTAATTATCCTACTCACCCTCCAGTACTATGTGAAATAGAAGGAGTCAGAGTGGACATTCTTGTCTTGTTACTGAACTTAGGGGAAAATCTTTCAGTCTTTTACTGTAAAATGTTGTACTAGCTATGGAGTTTTTGTAGATATCCTTCATCAAATTAAGGAAGTAACCTTCTAGCCAAAGTTTGTTGTATGTTTGATGTTTGTTTGTTTTTATTTATGAAAGGGTGTTGGATTTTGCAAATGCTTTGTCTGCATCTATTGAGATGGTGATGTGGGCTTTGTCCATTATTCTATTAATATGGTATATTAAATTAATTGGTTTCTATACACTGAACACACTTTGCATTCCTGGGATAAATCCCACTTGGTCATGGTGAGATTTATATAGTGTTGGATTCAATTTGCTAGTATTTTGTTGAAGATTTTGCCTCTATATTCATAAGGTATATTGGTCTTTAATTTGTCTTTCTTGTAATATCCTTGTCTGATGTTGGTAAAGGGTATTTTTTTTACTCAAGTTATTTTTGTAGCATTTCTTCTGGATCTGCCTTCATAGCCATACAAGATTCTAATCACTCTAATCACAAGCCATATAATCATTCTAATCTTTTATAGTCATACCTCATTTTTACTGCTGTTTTCATTACTAAAAATGATACTATCCAGTTTTATCACCCACCATAATCATCATATTTGGTCTCAGATAGCCCTTAATTAACTCTCAATATAATTGAAAAATAACAAAAAATCACAATGGTAACAGTAAGTGCATAGGCTGTGCTGGGGATTGTTCTGAGCACTTGACAAGGATTCCTTCATTTAATATTTACAACCCTACAAACATGGATTACAATTATGCTCATTTCACAAACGAGGACACTGAGACAAAGAGAAGTAAAGTAACTTCCCCCTGAGGCAAAGTAGCTAGTTCCCAGGTAGTTACTTGATCCAGGATTCAAACCCATGGCAATGGAGTCCCAAGTCCATGCTTATAACTACTGTTTCAGCATTTAGAGGTTTGAAAAAGGATGTGTTTTCAGTACTTAAGAAAATTTTATAAAAAATGTTCCAAAAATTTTTTGGAGAAATGTCAGCATACTTAGAGAAAACGTATTTCTTTTTCGGAAACTATTCTGAAGATGCAAAATATACCTTTATGGGAAAGTATGATACTTTTGTTTAAAGTATGAGTCACATCGTCTTGTATAGCAATGAAGACCTTTGACATTAAATGGTCTGTTCAATATTTTTACTCTCCTGCAAGTTCTGTATTATTCTTAGAAAAATACCATCCAACTTCCATTTTGATCTTTTTATTTTCAAAGAAAAATAATATCAGCAGCTTTTTTAAAGGATCCTTCAACAGTAAATTTTTATATGACTTGTCCCTGGGGAAATATAAAATTGGTATGCTGATTCTTTGTGCTCAAAAGGCTTACTAGGAAAACCAAGGCTTTAAGTTGCATTCTTTTCCCACTGTGTTCCAAAGGCATAAACCGCACACAGCAAATACAAAAATATATTTTATCTAGTAAAAATACTCTATTAAATAAAATATTCTATTAATTGTCAATTATGCAATTAGTCAGTAGCCTCTTTTCTGCACCTACTATATGTGAGATGCCACACGAGATGGGAGGTAGCAAAATGTAGGTGATCAGAGCATGGGCTCTGCACACACAGGCTTGATTTGAATCGAGGTCCATCACATACTCATTATGTCATCTTGGGCAAGTTTCTTAAACTCTTTAAGTCTTGATTTTCCCATCTGTAAAATGAGGATAATAACATAGTTATATAATGGTGAAATAAGATAATGCACATAAAGTTCTTATCATAGTGTCTAGCATAATGTCTGCACTCATTTAATATTAATTCTTATTAAGAAATAGAAATGAATTGGAGCCCAGCACAGTGGGGCACACCTGTAGTCCCAGCTATTTGGGAAGCTGAGGTGGGTGGATCACTTGAGGCCAGAAGTTTGAGTCCAGCCTGGGCAACATAGGGAGACCCGTCTCAAAAAAAAAAAAAAAAAAAAAAAAAAAAAGTGTATAAAAAATAAATTGGGATAGCCACTCTTCTCAGGTAGTTTACAAGATCGTAAATGATGCCAATAGGAAGCAAAATGTTCTGTATATCGTCGGAGCAGAACAAGGTGTTAATGGGGCTTTAAGAACCAAAGATCACAAAATAGCTGAAGAAAAGAGGATGGGCAACAACTGAAAAATGGATAATAACGAAAAGAAAATCAAAGGAAATGGGAAGACTTGGAATGAACAGTAGGAACAAGGGTAAGGAGGGGAGGAAGAGCCCTGTGTGGTCAGATTAGGGCTATGGCAAGGTGCATGGAAGATGAAGCTGGAAATAAATCTGGTGGAACGAGCCTGACTTTCAAGTTAGGAACTTTGGACTTCATGTGGTGGGTATGAAAGTATATCGAGTGAGAATTTTGAAAGTTCATGGTTTGTTTTTGCTTTTTAGGTTTAGAATCCAAAGTCAATTCAACTTAAAAAGCATCTTAAATTCTTGGGGAGTCACCGATCTTTTTGATCCACTCAAAGCTAACTTGAAAGGAATTTCAGGTAACAACAGTTCTTCCAAACTTTCTAGTCTTGTGTTTGGGGCAGTTTTATCACACTTTGATTAAGAGATTATCATTGCCACAGAGCCTTCAGTGGTAGACAATCAGAGTCAACATTATGTAAAAGAAGGTGCTCTGTTTTATACAAGAACGTGTTGCTTCTGATAACAGTCAAATTTGGGTTAGACCTTATGAAGAAGGGATGTTTCTTCAGAACTTAATCATGGTTTTCAGAGACCACCTTCACCATGGGGTCAATGTCCATAGTACACAGTAAACTGACCCTCCGTTAACCCGTCATGACTAGGAGTTTACCCAAGGCATTAGTGCAGCAATAGATTCTTCATTATGACCTCCTGCTGTCCTGCCAGCTTCACAGTCCCCTTTTGTTTCTACACCCTTTTCCTCCCTCCTCCTATACCTCCTCTGTCCTCTTCTAATAAGCTAACCTTCCCTCATCTGTCCAATTTCCTTTCTTCAAATCACCCATGCTCTTATAACCTTGCCTTAAAATGTTCTCCTTTCCAGCATCCCTATCAAATTTCTTTGCACATGGTTGAATTGCTCCTACCAATCAATAGGTACTGTTTGTTTGTGATATGATAGGGAATTTATATCAAAGATAAGCAGGGAGTGAATGCCAGAACCTATGCTCTACAATCCTCTCAAGACACCATTGGCTAAACTATTGCCAACTCAAAGGCTCAGGTTTGTTTCTACTCTGGGAAGTGAATTGTTCGTGCAAAGATGATACTGTAGCTGGTATTTCCATTGGCCTTGACATTTCCCTTACCTGAAGAGCTTGAAAATCACTATTTTGAATTCTAGAACTAGAATTCTAGAATTCTAATGTGAATTTTTCTAAAGTTTGGCTCAGAATCTTCCTTTTTAAGCAATCACAGAAAAATTGAGATTTTGATCCACAAGAGAAGTCTTGGTTTGGGCTTTAGATGTGACCAGACAGATTGACAGAGCTACTTATCAAATAAAACACTGGAATGAGAATCTATTCTAGAGAGTTTAAAATCAAATAGCTGTGTGCTGATTGCCTAAACACGCAACGACACATGCAAAGCAATGGTCAAGTTTAGGCACAGTGTCCACAACGATGCTTGGTACGCAGTCGGATACCAAGTAAATATTGTTGACTTGGTCAAACGACTCAGACAGAAACTTTCCTTACTGACAGGCATATCTGACATTTCAGGGAAAGGAGGAATACTGAAGTGAAAAGATCAGAGGGCAAGGAAAGAGCAAGGGATGAAGAACTTAACAACGTTCTATGTTTGATAATATGCAAAATCTAATCCGTGTCGTCTTGCAACTCTAGAGCTCAGCCATGGCATCCCTGTTGTTGATGGTGATTCTGTTCTTTTGATTGTTAGAGTTCAAAACTTTAAGGCCATTCTTGACCTTTTCTTCCACACTACTATATTCGATTAGTCACTAGGGCTTACTGACTCTTCCTTCATAACTCTTAAAGCTCTATCCTTTTGTGTCCTAAAAGTACATCCTAAAGTGCCATCAACCCTGTGTCCTCAAACAGGACTGACCTTAACACACATCGTGTAGCTTCCCTATTGATGAAAGACTTCCAAGATAGCTCCCCTATTGGTAAAGACTTCCAAGGTCCGTAAACTCCTCTGGCAAGATCTAATAAGTAACCTAGTTTTAAAAGTACCTTTTTTTTTTTTTTAATATATATATACCAAACCTCTATTTTTTTTTTAAAGCAATTCAAATCTACTTAGATTTGTTCAAACCAGCAGAAAGGTAGGTATAGGCAGGCGGATCTGGCTTATTTAATAATGATCAAGCAGTTATCATGTGCCAAGTGTGAAGCTTGCATTCAAGTTTCCTACTGACGAAACTTGCCAGCCTGATAATCTTCTCTCATGAAGTTTTGTTCCTCTAAAGCAGGGGTCAGCAAATAATGGCCTACTACCTGCTTTTATAAAGTTTAATTAAAACATAGCCACTTTCATTCATCCATAAATCATCTATGTAGCAGGCTGCTTTCCTGCTACAACAGCAAAATTGAATGTTGAGACAGACACCATATGGCCCGCAGTTACTAAAATATTTAATATCCAGTCCTTTATAGGAAAAGATTGCCAACCAAAGTATTGCTTCTTAATGTCCTTCTTTAAACATAATCAGGAGACTAACCACTTCTCTGCCTAAATGGGCTTTCAACTTTATTCTAGAGACAGGGCCACCAAATCTCTCCAAGAAATAGTTTCCTCATTCCTAAAATGGGGGTAGCTACCACCCACCACACATGTTAATTGTAGAAACAAAATCATTTACATATAGCATGGCATCAGCAGAGACCTTGCTAGAGAGTAAGTGATCAGAAAATGCTGGCCTCTCCTCTCTTCTTCCAGTTCACAAGAGCTTACCAAGCAGTTTTGTACTATTGATGAAGTCCAACAACCACAGCAAACATTTGGCCTTTTGGTCCCAAAGCCAAGAATCATTTTACTCAAGTTCTTTTTCCCCATTTACAAGTCACTCATTTCTTCCTTCTTGGGATCAAATATTTTTTTTTTTTCCTGAATGACTCATTCAATGTTATTTCAAGGCCCAATTGAAACCAGAGTATAATTTCCCCCCAGTCTCCTTGGTATTAGATGTTATGCAGCTTTTAAGAGTAAGTTTCACTTACATTGAAGATGCCAGCTACAGATACTCTCCTTAAGCAATCCCACTGGCTTTAGGATCAGCAGATTTTGATATAGACCTCCTAGTTTTGATATGCCTCCTAGTTCACAAAATACTCCTTGTGCACAGACTTGAAACTCTGAAGAAACTGTCTTGTTCTTGGCTTTTATAAGTGGGTAGTTTCCAATCTCTGCTCAGTAAGAAGTGCAAGCTCTCTGTTACTATGACTTAAATGAATCAGAGTTGTTTGGTTGAGTATGGAAGTTATATAAGTTAACTTATGCCACACCAGATGTCTGGTCAGAATTGTAATGGAAAGAGGTACGAAGTGGACTAGAAGAGACAAATGGAGAAAGCAACTAACCATGGCCTAATTTCAAAGGCCATCTCGGATTCTTCTTAGCACTCTCTCTATCCTGGGCTGGGTGCTATGTCTCTCTCTCCCCTCTCCCTGACACTTAGTTTTAGCAACTAAGTGACAAGGTGAAAAAGATAAACTAGAAGCAAGTTCTGGCAATAACGTTTTAAAAGCCACTTACTCTGCCTACAGAAAATAATAATTGTAAAGCCAAAAGAAACAGCAAATGCTATGTTTATCCTGATTTATGAGAAGCTGAGGATGAAATGTAGGGACACGATGTTCATATAATATCATGGTATGAAGACTTTTAAACCTTTTGAATATGACTAGCCACACACAAATAATAATGGTCTCCACCAGTAAAGCACTGAAACAATCCTTCCACTGAGACTTGGAGAAGACCCATTCCATGACTTGCCTTTAAAAGGTTCTACCAGTACCAGTCAGCATTTCCTTACAAATTTAACAAGGCTAAAGAATATTAAGGCCATTCATACAGTGGTGAGGGGTGTCTATTATTAATTCATCCAGCATTTACTAAACACATTTATGTACCAAGTATTCTTAATGTTAAGTTGGGCAAAGAAATACTTAAAATGAATAAGACATCATTTATGCCTTCTAGGAGCTAATAGTCTAAAAAAGGAAGGTAAACACCTATAGAAGAGGTTATGGAAGAAGAGTGGAGAGTATGCTAGAAGGGAGGGTAGGAAGAGCATCACCCCTTTGCTTCATATGTAGAATATATTGTAGGAGCAAGTGGGTTTATGGTGGGCTATAGTTTCCCAAAGTATGTTCCCCAAATGCTAATCCTGTAAATCTGGGACAGAGAATGGTGTGGGTGGTTCCATGGTTAAATGCTACATATTATAATTATCCTAGAGATTCATTATAAAAGTTAGCAGATTAGCAGCTCTAAGAAGTCCCCTGTTGAAAACAACAGTGCAAAACTGTTTAGCATATACCATATATAATTAATCATAGAGCGCTTTTACAGAATGCCACCTATAAACAATCTTGAGAACAACTTTTGGGAAAATAGGGTGTATGCCTCTTAATGGCACTAAACAGCTATCAACACTTCAGGGGAGTAGAAAAAGACCAGGAGAATCCCTTTGTGCTTGACTTCTTCTAGGTTTGATTTCATTAGTTGTATAATATTTCAATAGCTATTCAATAAAAAATAATAGGAATTGGTAATACAAGACCAAGCAAGAGGAAAAAATGCAAACCCACAGATGACTCCCAAATTCTCGTTTTTATCACATATGTCTTTTGAAATGTCAACTCTTACCAGAGATAAAACTTAAAAGATGCTGATGCTATGGACCTTGGTTTATGGCTGTACAAACATATAAATGTCAATTATTGGACCACTCCTATAGTCTGATGGAGAGAAACAATTTAAATGAAATTCTTCAGTTGCACTTTCAAAATACTGAAATAGCCTGGCCCATCTAATCAGATTCATTCACATCAATTGGTCCCATTCTCACACTGCCAAGGTGCCTAGACTAATGCAGACACATTTACTTATTTTAGCTGATAAGGGGTTTCGTAGTGAATCTCTGCTTATTTCACCAACATTCATTTAAAATGTTCAGACACCATCCCATACTGTAATGTGGTTACGGAGATTAGTAAAACGCTCTCATGACTGTCAAATAACCATTCGTTATCCATAAAGCTCTCTTTGTAACTTTGGCTCTGCATTTCAGTTTGCTTAATTAGCTAGTAAGCGGGGCTAATTATTAATAATAGAGAAATTTGTTCTTTTCTTAAAGACCCTACAGAAAAAGACCAACTGCTAAAATAAACCAAATTCTTTCCTGGTTTTAGGACAAATGACACTAGTGAATGCTTCTATTGATTTTTACTTCCCCTGGTCCTTCCTGTTCCCTTCACTGATGCTGGAAAATAACTGTTCCTTACAGTGAATATAGACAATTCACAACATCCTGTGCACACCTTACTTACAAGATGGATGGAATGCCACATATTTATTTTGGGATGGTTTTATTCTCTCATGGCATTCACGGGCTATCTCCTGTACATCCGCGACAAACGCAAACCAATTTAAGCATTAGTCTAAGATGAAACAAAGCTCCCTCACACACACTATGTGTACATCACACTGATTATTTTAATATTCATGCCACAGATACCTCCCAGTGGCATGCTGAAGTTGACTAGCATACACTTTCTATACGGTGGGAGTGTTTGAGTGGAGTGGAGGGGTGGGATGGGAGTGGGCTTTCAATCAGAGTATTCTCAACTCTGCTCTTCAGGTTCGTGATCTCAGATGACTTAACAGCTCACTCTGAAATGAAAGGATTGGACTGAATGATTTCTTAAGTTTCTTCTGGTTCTAAATCTTTCATTTTTTATTGTGTCATCAAGTATCTTTTCATCTTTGGAGCTGTTTAAAAATGGTTAATGATTAGCTTACAAAAATCTGTCGATTCCTCTAAATTATCACTTAGTCCTATTTGCTAAACTTATAATCTGTGAAACTGTCAGCACACAGAACATTTATACTAACTTCTCATTTGCTTTGTAGATTCTAGCCCATTAGGCCAATTAATTGCATAACTGATATACCTAAGTATAAAGAATGCAGTCATGCAACACTAGACACATACATATTACTCTGAATTGTCCCTCAATAAAGCCTGTAATAAAAACCTGTGACTTTGTCATTTAAAAGTGGCTCCTAAAATGCAGTCCAAAAAGGCAATCAAGGGACATGCCTCTCTGAACCTTGCTGAAAATGATTCCCAGGCTACAGAATTTGCATTTTAACACATACCCAAGTGATTCTTATGATCACTGAAGTTTTGAAAATACTGGCTGATGGTAGTATTAACTAGAAATCATTTTTGAAAATGAATTACTGGAAAAAATAGGGCAGTGCTCTAAATATTTTGGGGGAGATTACATATATTTATTAAAATCTTGAAAGTTCAGTAACATATGAACCTTAAGAATTTTCCAAACAGCCACCTGAGCCTCCAGTAAAAACAAAAACAAGAATTTTCCACTCTTTCCCTAGCTACACAGTAAGCAGCATCGGAAACTATAAATTTTACAAGTACATCTTAAAAGAATGTGTTCTAAATGTGTTAGAAAAATGCTAATGAGCAACTCACATCTTTATCATTTTCTGGGGTTAGGCCAAGATGGGTTTTATGTTTCGGAAGCCATCCACAAGGCCAAGATTGAAGTTTTGGAGGAAGGCACCAAGGCATCTGGAGCCACAGGTATGTTCATACAGAGAACACCCAGCCATACTGCTCACCCTTATCTACCGTTCTTAAATTTACCTAGTTGAATCTTCACATTTCTGAATCTGTCCATAACCCCTGAGGGTTCAGATGTGGTACAGCAGTTTTAAAAAAGGAATACTGAAGAAAGCAAAAAGTTTTTGAAAAAGGATGGGGAAGAAGACATATCTACCTCATAAAATTCATTCTGAAAGTTACCTTCAGTAAGGAATTTATTCCACGAAATGTGTTGAAAACAGGAGACAGATTAGCTAAGTGGCATCCTTTCTCTGTAATTTTCCCACTTGCACCCCCATCACAATGGTAAACAATGAAATGCCATTAGGATGCTTCAATTTCTTAAAAAATTATGGAATATCTTACTTCATTGCCAATTGAAATCGTGATTAAAAAAAAAAAAATGAACAGAAAATGCAATGGGATTCTTCTTTCTTTCCTGTAGCTCTGTTGTTATTGAAAAGGTCTCGGATTCCTATTTTTAAAGCAGATCGGCCATTCATCTATTTCCTGAGAGAACCTAACACAGGTATTATAGTATTTTTTGACAGGATTCAGATAAATTATTTATCATTGTCTCTCTAGCCACAAGGGCTCATTTGTCCACTATCCCCTAAAATAAGCATTCTTTCTAGCTGTTCTTATGGTGCTTCAGTTGCTGTCTTAGATCCTGAGAAAGGGGACTATTTCATAAATACAAAGGAAACTTATCCTCCGTGTTTTTCACCTTCTCATTCTCTTAGTTCATATGTAGTTAATGTAGATTTTAAAAAATGCTATAGGTTTCTACTTCTGAAGATACTTGGAAAAATCGTGAAAGTAAAATAAATTACAAATCTTGCCTTTTTTTTCCCCATTGTCCCCTTGCTTTCTTGTCATTTTAGGAGAGAGTTTTTTCAGGTCACTAAGAGTATGCCAGAGCAGTCCTCTTGTGATTCTGGTATTCTAATGCACCTGGATTTCTACACTGTTTTGTTGATCTTTCTCATAAATCAAATGTTTGCCCCAGTAGTTGTAAGTCCCACTATATAACCTTAAAGTAATCCAAAACTCGGTACATCAGAAGGACACACAAATATCCTTAGGCTTCGGCCACATTGAACAAAGTCTTTAAATTATTTCTCTTAATATTCTTCCTCTCCTACTCACAATTACTTAGCCTAGGAAGGAAAAGAGATTCTCAGTTAAGAGTTGTTGGCAAGTGTAAACAGTGTATTAAAAAGAAATAGGATAGAACAAGACTAATAAAATCAAGCAAAGGTGGATCTACTTTAACTAAACATCAGGCATTACTTTTATTTATGGAGAAAAAAATGTCAAAAGTTAGAATAATGAAAATTATGCATAGTTTTACATAAATTGTTAAGGAAATACTGTCAACATCATTTTATCTGAGAATCATTTGCATCCTGCTGTACCTTGTGCTAGAAATCAAAGGAACATTTTTGTGATGAGAAAGATATAAACCATTCACTAGAAAACAATCTATTTGGGGATTATCTGGAGAGAAAAAGTTCAACAGAATATGTCTTCCTAGTATTTCACCGTGATCATCCCAACCCCATATTGACTAGACGAAAATTTATCACCCAGAACAGGCAGCAGAGAGCCTTCTCTTAGAAAAGACATGTGAAAAAAATGAAAGATTAAAAAAAAAAGACAGGTTCTACTCCCTAAAGAAACAAGGAGACAGGACTACATTTGAACAGAAAGGTCACCGCCAAAAGCCAACAGCCAATAAAGGTTGATAGGTAAAAAAGAGATTCTGATTTTGGAATTCAACTGCATAAAAATGATGTAAAATCCTTTAACAAGAAAAAGACACACCACTGTTTCAATGGTATGTTTTCAGAACTGCTTCAGTAGTCAGAATAAAAACATAAGGATAATCCAAAACCAGTTCCACAATCGACCAGAATTTTAGTAGTCCTTGTGATTTTATTTACCTCTATCTGGGAGGCATTAGCCCACACCACACAGAACAGTGGCTGCTCTTCTGGTGATGATTATGGAAGAGTTTAGAAATGAGTCTCAGCCTTCATTACTCCAAACTGACAAATCTTATGATAAGAACAACTAATGAATCAATCAGCAAATGGGAAAGATGGGGGACATTTAAAAAAAAATCTGAAAACCTCAAGATTAAACTTTCCAAGAATATCATTTGTCCAGCCTTAAGTCATTCAGTGACATAAAGGGCCTAAAAGACATGATGTTCCCCCTAGATGTATTCCCCTTCCCTTTTGCCAACAAGAATTCTACAATAAGTATTTCACTAATTTAACTAATATACCCATAGTTTTTTTTGTTTAAATGAAAAATGTCTGAGAGAGATGGGACATTAACTTTAGTTCTGATAGGTTTCAAACCCTCCCGACCAGGTTTTAGGATGAGGCGAGAGGATAGTGGCAGAAAGATGAAAGACAAAAAGAGATGAACAGAACTGCTACTTCTCACCTCCCTCCAGGGTTCACTCAGAAAAATGTATTAAAGGTCACGAGCAACCTGTGAAATAGAAAGTAAAACTTTCTGACAAGGAAAGCTGCTAAATATTGTGATAGGCTGAATCTCCTAAATACTCTTGTTAAGTATGAATTTTTATCTGAATAACTTCTAATCCCTCCTACTAATCTCAGAATCTGAATAATAAATTCTGGATTTTGTGTGACTCTCATTGAATTTAGCAACTTGACTACAGGCGATTACCTTAACAATTCCATCTATTAAATGTTATCTTGCTAAAAAGTATTTGTGTAGAAGTAAAGTTTAAAGAACTGCATATGAAAATACTATATAATATTACATTAAATTCTTCTTTTTCTTGACAGGGTTTGTCTTCAGTATTGGGAGAGTTTCAAATCCCCTAGACTAAATGCATGTTATCCACTTTGATCGATGCTTTTCTTCATAAAGTTATAATTTCACTTTGCTATACCCTTGAAATTTAAAAAATGTTCTGATAAAGTGTAAAAAGATAAGGGTATGTGATTTTCAATATTATAAACCTAAAAATACTTCGATTTTTTAATTTTATAAGTTTATTTTGCCTACTCTTAATCCAAATCTATTTTGATGTTCTTTTCTATTGGTTATCCCCCAAACCACTAAAAGGCACAGGAGTGATCTATGAATGGTGAGTGAGTCAGGCCGTAAGATCGCTTCCTCAGTAAGGATATGACAGGCCATGTTGAAGTGAGGGTGGAGAATGGTGTGGTTTTCCTTATCCTGTGAAACTCAGGGGGGATGCAAAATGAGCAAAGCCATCTTAAAGGTGTTTCCTTTCCACTTAGCTTATAAATAAAATAGAATCTAAGTGTGAGAACAGTAGAGCAGAACAAAGAGGCCTCCAATTTGTTGTGGGCTTTTTTTGGAAGCATGGCATGAAGCTGCTAAAGGCTAGGTATTTCAGAGTATGTAGTTCACTCCAAACCTACCACTCCCTAGCTAATAGCTTAAACTTTGTGCCACCCACAATCCTAGTGAGAAAGGAAAAGGTGTTGAAGTAAGGAACCAGTAATATCCAGAGCTGTCTGCTTTTTAAATAGCTTTTAAAGTATCTGTCTATCTGCACCAGACAAAGTCATTCCCATAATCTGGGCAGAAATGGGAGTATGTTGGCATGGCCAACAAAAACTACAGACATATAGTAAAAAGGCAATGCAGATTATGTAACATGTAATTACAGTTAGGCTTAACAAACATGAACTTCAAGTGGGGTATTTTTCCAATGCTAAAAAGCAAGGCCTTTAAATTTCCATTGTTTTAGGATGTTTTAAAATGATTACCTTAAATGTGATTACTTCCTAAACCACACAAGAGTAAAATAGAGCATTTATTGATGGAATAACAAAAGTGCTTTTCTTAAATATTCTTCAAAATACATTTGTACAACTTACAATAATATATCCAAAATAACTGTATATACAAAACATTACCTAGTTTTAATGTATGTGCTTTTTTCCCCAAAAATTACAAAGTAACTTCAATTTTTTTTTGGCAAAGTTCAACCTTAACAGAGGTGACAATTTTAAAGGTTGGTTTAAGAAAATAGAACCTGAGGGAAATTGACACGCAAGAGTCAATGACAAGCAAGAGATCTGGAGGAATATTTTTAGTTTGTTAAATAAAAATGTTTTTTAGAGTGATACTTTTCACATTACAAAAATAAACCAAAATGAAGAAAAGGTCACTGTAAAATGATGGAAAAAAGATCTGTAGATTTGCTTTTAGTATTTCAAATAGCCAACAATGCATGTCAGAAAATGAATGCAAGATCACAACAGTCTTGTATTTACTTTGTATTTGAAGAAGATAGTGAAATAAGTGGCCACATTCTATTTTCTTTTAATTGCTATTAATATGGTTGATCTGATTGGCTCTTCGATGAATTTCATCCAAGAAGTTCTCCAGTTGTTCTATTAGCATTCGTTTTTTAAACCTGTATGAAAAAATAAATAGTACTCTCAATTACTTTTTAATGAATAGTATAAACCAGTATAATTTTTTTTTAAGAGGGAAAATTGCTTTGGGAAGATTTTTCAAAGTGAAATGAAAATAGAAAAATCAATACTATAACACAAAATATGTTGAAAGATTAGCAAATTATTGTACCAGTACAGTATTATAATTTGTCCCTAAAACATTCTAGGTTTAAACAATGAGAAAGAGGTTGTCCCTTCTACAACCAAAAAGAAAAAGGAAAAAACAGGGCCGGGCGCGGTGGTTCACGCCTGTAATCCCAGCACTTTGGGAGGCCGAGGAGGTAGATCACGAGGTCAAGAGATCGAGACCATCCTGGTCAACATGGTGAAACCCTGTCTCTACTAAAAATACAAAAAATTATCTGGGCATGGTGGCACGTGCCTGTAATCCCAGCTACTCAGGAGGCTGAGGCAGGAGAACTGCCTGAACCCAGGAGGCGGAGGTTGCGGTGAGCCAAGATCGCGCCATTGCACTTCAGCCTGGGTAACAAGAGGGAAACTCCATCTCAAAAAAAAAAAAAAAAAGAAAAAGAAAAAGAAAAAACCAAAAAAATCCCCAAAAATTAATATATTCAAAATATATTCAAGAGTTGCAAACACTCTAGTGAAATTTGGGCTCCCAAAGCATATACTTCAATAGCTTCTTCTCATTCTTTTTGTAAACTGAATGTTCAAAGGAATGTGAACAAAATATGAATATAATCTCCCACAAAATGGAAGAAGAAATGAAAATTGGGGAGTAGCATTTAAAAGCCATGGTATTCTATTACAATTTGAAAGCTAGCAAATCAAGGATAGATATCTATAATACAGAGTATAGAAAGCAGTTTAAGTTCAAGTGACAATTTTTAAAAATTTTCAGTAAAAAATTTGGGCAGACTAAAATTGCATCGTCTACATAATTGTTGATGGTTTTTAGAATATCCCAAGACACTGGACATTTTAGTCCTATTTCCTCGCTACTTGCAAGCTAATCTAAATAGCCACCATAATACTACACAATTCTCTAAAAGGTGGCAGAAGTGAATTACAGATACCAGGAATATAGTTAAATTCCTAATGAGGTTTTAGTGGACAGAATGTCACTGGAAAGAGCATTAACAGGTTAAATACTCAAAATTATATAAAAAGTTGTAGTCTTATCTTGATCCTGCAAAGTGGCTTGTGCTCTAGCCACTCCAAAGAAAAGAAAAGATGTGAAAAGAAAGCATGAAACAAAAAAGCAACTTTATCTAAAGTTTTTATGTGTCGTATAGAAGGGAGAGGGGGACAAAGGCTAAGTGTGTTTACATTTAGAAGGTCAGATGAGATAAGCCCCAACTTGTCTTACAATACTAAAATTCCCAAAATCTTGAAGGAAAAATAAAAAATGTTTTTAAACTCATACAACTGTTTTCCAGTTAATTACACTTCTTAGTTACCATTTATAACCTTTATCTACTTTCTTTATATGTGATTCCCTCATATTCATGGGGGATTGATTCCAGGCCTCCCTATGAACAACAAAATCCATGAATGCTCAAGTCCCTTGTATAAAATAGCCCGATATTTGCATGTAACCTATGTATATTCTCCCACATGCTCGAAATAATCTCTAGATTATTTATAATACTAATACAGTGTAAATGCTATGTGAATAGTTGTTAGACTGAATTAGAGAATGACAAGAAAAAAAAAACCTGTACATATTCAATACAGACACAACCATCCATTTCCCGCCTCCAGATACTTTCAATCTGTGGTTGCCTGAATCCACGAATGTAGAATCCACAGATACAGAGGACAAATATACTAATAATCCTGAGCTACTGAAACAATCAGAAAAGGCTCTTTTGTCCAATTCTGGTCCCCTTAATTGTATTTTCCCATGTACAAATAAATGACATTCAAGTATTGCTTATGTTATTTTTACATTTAGATTGCTTATGTAATTTTTACAGTTAATGCATAAAGGAGAAAAAGGTTGTAAAATATTAACATAAAGATATCAAAAAGCTACAGCAAAGAATCAACAAGAATTCTCCAAGTATCTAGTAATTTGCAGGGAGAGAAAAGGTCCATAATTCCTGAAGAATGTATATGTGGCTGTTTTCTAAGTGAATTTCTTTCAATAAACTAAAAAAGAATAATGATTTATTTATATGTTGGTATGAAATATACATTTATAAACAACACAAGTGCAAAACAGATACTGTTAAAATACTGCTTATATAAACTGGGGACTCATTTCATCACCATTTCATTATATGCAATAGTTTATTTACCTTGATGCTTCTTTAATGACATTTTGTAAAAATATTAGTCTTGTCTGTAAACTGCCTTGCACATGCTTCAGTAAAGTGAAGATTCTTTCATATTCTTAAAGCAAAAGAAGCAAAAAGAAAAATTAAATGGTTTTCATTTGTATTCTTATTCAATATTCTATTGCAGTTTATTATATTAAGATATACTGAGACAAAAATATTCTACATAAAAATTTCACCAATTATTCGAGATTTTATATTTTAACGTATGTGTAAAAGTAAGTATACAGCAACAAAGATAAAACAACTAATCAAATCCTGCTTTTTAAGTAAAAGTCCCTATTACACATAAAACGTAAAACTAAATAGCTTTTTGGTCATACCACTAAAAAATAAGAACAAGTGGCCTTTACAAAACTCCATCCTTACAGTTTAAAATTCTAATGGCTAACATGGGGGGTAAGTGGAAAGTGGGGGAAAAAAAACCAAACAGGTCAAGAGTGTTATTTCAGTTTAAAGTTTTCACATGAAACTCTGCAAGGGCTATAAACTCCTAAACTCCAAGGACTGATTCGTACCCACTTCTGGACCACCCAGGTCATTGTATTACTCCAGGTGAAATGATCTGTTAACATACTCTAAATAAATGTCAATAATACTGAATATTTTCCCATAAAGTTCTTTTGCGTTCATACACTAGATAGCTTTCATAACTTTAGTTTTTCAGCCAAAACATATCCTATGATATCACTATCATAGTTTAACTATTAAACACAGTGGTAGACACTGTGACAAAAACTTTACAGACGTAAAGCCATTTAATTTTCACTGTATCTTTTGTGAGCTAGCTGTTATATTAAAATTATACTGTTGGTCAGAATAATACTCAAGACTATGGGTTCCTGTCATAGTAGGGACTACATGTAATTTATCTGTATAGTGTTGCTCTGCTCTCAGTCCCTGCTGCCTACCGTATCTAGTACCTTGGAAATAGAAGATACTCAGTATTGATAGTTGAATAAAGAACCTTAACTGAGCTGTTGTTCAAGACAGAAAGACAGATCTAGAATCGTATCTATTCTTTTACTACCATTACTTTTCTTTTTTTTTTTTTTGCTTTTTGAGCACATCCAGAAATCAGATTTGAGGTTTGTCTCTTATTATACATACTTCTTCCTGGTTTTCGGATCTCTTTCATTATTTGTGCTTTTAGTTCAGTATTGACCTCTTCATGGCTTCTGCAGTGTATCAATTTCTTTCCTTTGCTGAGTGAAGATGCTGGTATGTTCTCTTCAGCACATTGTTCTTTATCTCTTGGCTCCTCATGATTTTCTAAAAATCCACCAACAGTGAGGTCGTTAGTTCCTAAATGGTCATGACCAAGAGCCTCTGTATGATTGGTTGGCCGTTCCAGTAAACTGGCTGGAGAAGATGTTGAGAATTCAGTATCCATAGCATTTGGTGTAATGTCTGATGAAAGTTGGTCTGCAACATGATTTTCAATCACATCATGTATTATCGAATCATTGGTGGTTTCTGAAACTAAAAACAAAGATATGGGGAAACATTACGGAATCTAGTCTCAAAGCATAGAGTAA